TCCTGGGAGCAGATCCAGACCTTCTAAGTTGTGTCCTGTGAATGCGATTTCCATAACTTCGTCAATAGAGAAATTGAAGATGAAAGGTGACAGCGGACATCCTTGTAGCACACCGATGGAGATATTGAAGAGCGACGACAGCTTGCCGTAAGCAATCACTCTGCCCGAGCGAGCGCGTATAATGCTAGGATAATGTTTACATATTCCTCGGACACAGCTTTCCTTAGCAGACAGTCCCAAAGGGCACGTCTATCCACCGAATCGAATGCACTTTGCTATCGAGGAACACGACAACCGTGGGCCGCCAACATACGTGACGGTGCTCCAACAACTGACGCAAAGTGAAGATGTGTTCAATGCAGATACGACCTCGACGAAACCCAGCTTTCTTTTCACGAATCTGGCTTTCACAAGCGCCAGTCAGTCTGTGAAGGATGACACAGGCAAGCAATATGGAGGCGATGGATATCAGACTGATTCCTCTATGGCTGCCGCATTCCGATGGTGAGTCTTCCTTGAAAATTGGGACACTGATGGAGCGGCTCCAGTCGGCTGGGACAGTCTCCTGCTCCCAGAGTTTCACTAGTAACTCGTGTAAATCATCCACAAGAGCAGGTCCTCCGAATTTGAGGATGGGTGGAGGAAGATCATCTGGTCCCGCAGCTCTATCTAACTTCAACAGTGTCGTCGCACGTTCGACTTCTGAGCGAGAAAGCGGATCCAAAGGGACAGCCCACGGAGCAGAGCGATCACTGGCCGATTAAACTGCCTTTCAAGTGCTCAGCCCAACACTCTAAAAGTTTTGATAAGGGGGGACAAATGTCCACTCTCGTTACATATAGTTTCATGAACACCAGGTTTCCTGTTGTCCGTTTCCCGTATCAGACGGAATAACTTTCGATGGTTACCAAGGGCAGCGGCCATTTCCATCTCTGACGCACGAAGAGACCATCAAGTTTCGCGGTCTCTCTTCAGGCTAGCACGGAGTTTTCTGCGAGTCTCATTGTGTCCGCTACCAGCTGAAATGGGCCGGCGAGCATCGATAAGCTCCAGAGACCGCGAAGAGACCCAATGTCCATGTTGGCTATTAGACATATCACATGAGGATTTGCTTGCTGATGGTAAGGTCTGGTGAACATGTGACCAGTGAGCTTCAGTTGTATCCAGTGAGTGCTAACACAACTCGCATTTCAGCGCACTTCGATACGCATTCAGAACAGCAGGCTTCTTCATTTGGATGGTGTCAATGCGCTCACAGCGTCGTCGTGGGCGTCCGCCAAAATGCATTCGCATGTCAGCACAAACAAGCGCATGGTCGGTGTTCACACATGTGCTCCAAATCGAGCGACAGTTCTGGATGCAGCCTCTCCAGCGGTAACTTATCGCAATATGATCGATTTGTATCAATCGTTGGTTGGAGCCTGGTGGGCGCCAAGTCACCCTCCGCCGGGTGCTGTTTCGGAAGTTAATCCTCGTAAGAAATAAGCGAGCGAACATCTTCACACAAATGAAGTAATCGCTCACGGTTATCATTACGGGAGCGTACACCATGTCGGCCGCAAAGCTGCAGTTCATTAGTGGATAATTTGCCAATCTGAGCCTTCAGATCCCCATCCAGCACTAGTGTCCGAGCTTCTTCTGTGGCGAAGGAGCATGTTCAGCTGAGGATAGAAGTCGTCTTTTACAGAGTCATCGCTACTGTTCGTGGGGGTGTAGGCAGCGATGTTGAATAGACACCTACATCCTCGTGCACATTAATTGAAACAAACTACGATTGTCTCTTTTTCTATGAATATCATGTTTTTATACATGAAAGCTGCCGTTTTGCATTTATTTTTTATTTTATTTTGGGAATAATTATTTCATCATTGTTTGTGAATCAGACGATGTAGTAACTGCGCATGTCTAGTCGTTACATCACCCAAGATTGCGTCATACTTTTTATGGTTAGTAAGGTTTTTGTTTCAACTTCTTGTTTTTTTGTGATTCAGTCATTGTTTGAGATGGACGTGACTCCCAGAAGGCGCATGAAGATCGTGACCTTGCACGAACACACAGACAAGACCTACAGGGACATAGCAAGAATAGTAGGCGTCAGTCCGGCAACCGTCAGCCGTGTGATCAAAAAGAAAAAGGAAACGGGATGCATTTCGCCAAAACGCACAGGGAAATGTGGTCCTAAGAGGAAAACCACTGCCAGGGATGACGCTTACCTAATACGGGAAAGTGTTAAAGATCCTCGAAAGACTAGTGACGCATTAAAACGTGATTTGGGGGAGAAAGGAATAGAAATCAGTTCTTCAACGGTTCGCAGGCGACTCCTGGAAGTTGGTCGGAAAGCCAGACGGTCTGTGAAAAAACAACTTCTGACAAAAGTAATGAAAGTTAATCGTTACAAATGGGGGCTAAAATACAAAAACTGGACAAAAGAAGATTGGAGATAAGTCCTATTCAGCGATGAAAGCCATTTCTATGTTCATGGTCAGAGAAGTCAGTATGTTCGGAGGTCAGAGGGAGAGAAGGTTCGTGATTCCCACCTTGACCACTTTGTGAAACACCCACAAAAGCAGATGTTTTGGGGGTGCTTTAGTTATTACGGCGTCGGCGCCTTGCATCCAGTCCAGGGCATGATGCGCTCTCCACAATATATAGAAGTTCTCAAAAGAAGAGCTGTTCCAGAACTAAAAAAGACATTTCCTGACGGATCTGGCGTATTTCAACATCTTGGGTCCCTGTACCAAACTTGAATTAAAGCTTGAATAAGTTTCTCCTTTGTCGTACAGTCCATGCCACGAAGGCGTTGTTTGCAAATAGACCACCTATTTTCAATGGGGTTTAAATCTGGTGAATTCCCAGGCCAGTCCAAGATGGTTATTCGATTAGTATTGAAAAATGTCTTGACCATTTTTGATGTGTGGCACGGGGCCAGATCCCGTTGAAGAACTGATTTCTATTCCTTTCTCCCCCAAATCACGTTTTAATGCGTCACTAGTCTTTCGAGGATCTTTAACACTTTCCCGTATTAGGTAAGCGTCATCCCTGGCAGTGGTTTTCCTCTTAGGACCACATTTCCCTGTGCGTTTTGGCGAAATGCATCCCGTTTCCTTTTTCTTTTTGATCACACGGCTGACGGTTGCCGGACTGACGCCTACTATTCTTGCTATGTCCCTGTAGGTCTTGTCTGTGTGTTCGTGCAAGGTCACGATCTTCATGCGCCTTCTGGGAGTCACGTCCATCTCAAACAATGACTGAATCACAAAAAAACAAGAAGTTGAAACAAAAACCTTACTAACCATAAAAAGTATGACGCAATCTTGGGTGATGTAACGACTAGACATGCGCAGTTACTACATCGTCTGATTCACAAACAATGATGAAATAATTATTCCCAAAATAAAATAAAAAATAAATGCAAAACGGCAGCTTTCATGTATAAAAACATGATATTCATAGAAAAAGAGACAATCGTAGTTTGTTTCAATTAATGTGCACAAGGATGTATTAGTCCCGCGCAACTTCTAACCTTTGACCAAGCCAGCCAATCGGACCGCGAACATGCGTCTTGTGATTGGGATCCAATCAATCAGAGTAGCTTCAGCCCGGGCACTCAGGGCAGTACGAAGACCAGCTTGGCCGGTATTGGAAGCTGTATAATCTCCGGATAGGCGCAATGAGAAAGCACTGCTAGTGTCACGTGATGGGGATCGCAGAGTGAGCACAGAGCTCGTCTTGCATGCGAGTCGCCGACAAGCAGCAGATATCAATCGAGAGGGTCTCTAATGTTCGGGCAAGCGTTGCCTGTTGACCGATTTGTAACAATGTGCGTACATTGAGGCATGCCAAGCTGTAGGAGGATCGATGGCTCCAAATGGAAGCCAATGAACTAGGCTTGGCCGCTTGGTTGGACATGGACTTGTTGACATGGCAGGACTGATGCTGCTCGTTCACATGTGAGTTAAAACTAGAAGCTAAAAACCTATCAAGGTGGAAAAGGGCCAAGAAATTGGGGGTTGAAAGCGGGGGGATAAAATTGAAGCTAGAACAGGACGATAAGGGTTCAAAAAATGTAAGAGGGGGAATAAGAAGATGGGAAGGCTGGAGCAATAGCATCCAAAAGCCTATGCACCCTGCTCGATGCAGCAGATAGGGCACCGTTTATGAATTCTCTGCGATGTCCAGAGCATCAGAAATTTGTTTGAAGAGAAATTCATTGTATTGCGTGGGCAGGATACTGTCAGGTTGCCCAGGCCTAGACAAGAGAAAGATTAGGGTTCTCAACCAAAGCCTTTGGTTCAAAAACCTGAGCGCAAGGCAGCGGGTTTAGCGGTGGGCTACTAGGAGTCCGTTTTAAGGAATAAGAAGTCACCCTCATTCCAACCCCCAACCATGAGGACCAGGAGGGTGGGTTTATCTGGCCTCTAACCAGTGACCAATCTGGTATGAGTGCCTCTGAAGGTGTAAAAAAGCACCACCCAGCATAGCTCAATGGATCTTTGAAGCACGCAAACCATCGCAGCACGGTAAGGTTTAGCCTAATTGCGATTGGGTCGAAGGATAGCCTCAGGCCGGACTTTGGGGGTGGCATCGAAATCGGTGTGGCGATAAAATTGAGGGCAACACTTATTAAAACAGATAAACGGTTGGCATGTGATGGAGAGTGGTGAGATGAGGGGGAGAGGAACAAGCGGGTGCGACGAAGTAGTAGTGTGATTCCTGGCCTCTAATCACTGAGCAATCTGGTATGAGTGGCTCTGAAGGTGAAAGAAACATCACCCAGGATAGCCCGATGGATCTCTGGGGCACGCAAACCATCGCACCACGTTAAGGTTCAGTCTCGTTGCGATGGAATACAAAGCATAGAATATGGCAACACAGCCAGGTCCTTGTCTACTATCTCAAGAGCTGATGATAATGCCAACGTGGGACAACGGAAAACAGAGACACAAGTAAAAACAATCATCCACACACAAGTTAAAATTAACCGGTGGAAAAGACGATATTCACTCAAGGGAAAGGGATGGATTAGTGGGGTTATAGACGAATAAACGAAAGCTCACCTGCATTTCCGACTTGGCTAGCAAGGCCGATTTCAACTGGTCGGCCCGTTCAGCTTTTGCCAAATCTAGTTTCAAAGAAGCAAGCTCCTTGTCAGTCGTAGCTTGCAACTCGGATAACCGATCCTCTAGCTCTTTAACCACTTTGCGACACTCACCCAGCTCGGTATTTAGCTTAGCGTGCTTCTCACGCCAACCCTGAGAAAGCCAAAAGAAGTATCGGGCAAGACAAAACTAAGAGAGGGGACGAGATAAGTTAAGAAATTAAAAAGAGCAAGAAGCGAGCATGCTGGGTGATTATCGGAATGATTGTGACAATGGGGTACAGGCGAATCTCATATACAAGACAACCTGGGATAGACACAACGGATGTGGATATAGAAGCATCTGACTTAACTTCCTGTTAACCCTGCGCCCAACATCAGTTGAAAGTATGGAAATGCGATGCGAATTCAAAGTAACTAAGAAGAAGAATTGAGACAAGCGCGCATAGTTAACGTCCAGCAAAACGTTTATTGCTCGTCCACCATCTGTACTTGCCTCACATTCAGCTATACTCTCCCGATATAGCTGTTTGGTGTTTTGCAGCTCAGGTTGCAGCTGCTCCTCGATGCATCTCTTGAGTTCCAGAGCGGTGGTCACTCCCTCCTCGCCAGTCGATAGGGCAACGAAGAGACGGGATGACGCGTCTGTGGCATCGACTGCTGCCTGTTGTCGAAGCTGGTCAATCAGCCTCCCACTATCAGCTTCTCGGTTGAGCGAAGCCTTCAAATCCATCTCCAATCTAGTCCGCTCGTCTAGAGTGCTCTGGAGGAGCTGATTTGCGCGATTTACCCTCTCATCGCCAGCAGTCTTTAATACAAAAGACAGAAGGAATGAAGGAGGCTCATAAGCGAGAATTCAACTTAACAAAGGGTAAAGCATACAACATTTGCCCTCATTGATGCGTGTGGTCGAGTGGACTCATCAAGTGAACACAGTGATGAAAAGGACCGTGCCCATTGAAGTTCCTCAATAACTCGGATAATCGCACATCAGCAAGAAGCAAGGTTACGCCAACGCAACGAAATTTGACGTTATCGTGGTGCGATGGCTTACATTCCTCAACAATCAAGTGAACTATGTCTGATGGTATTATTGCCCTTTCAGAGCTAGTCACTCCAGATTGGCCAATGGTTAGAGGCCATACAAATTCAGCTTCCCGGTCCTCCAGACTGAGTATCCGAATGAGGCTGGTTTTTCATCCCTCAAAGAGGGCTCTCCCCGTGACATAATGAAGACTTCCGGTGCTTCATACTCAGGTTTTGTATCAAAAGCTTCGATTGAAAGCCCTAATAATCTTCCTGTTTAGGACTGGATAACCTAACAGCACCCTGTCCGCGTAACATAATGAGAAATTACTCAATTTCTTGGTGTTCTGGTCATTACGTGAGATATTCAACGGACTGTCTGCTGCACAAATATTTCTATGTATTATGCACCCGTAAGTTGATGTGAATGCATAGAGTGCAATGGCTGTTTACTAGAGGTTTCAAGAACCGCAATGCAATCCCTTTGACAGAATTCAGTAGCGCTGTGTGCAATGATAGTTTCAAAATAAACCAATTAAAGGAGAGATCGGTAGGACTTGGCAGATATGTTGCGTTCAATGGCAGATAATAAGGAGGATTAAGCAATGTGAGCAGTCAAACAGCCCTAGAACACTAAGACGAATGCAGCTACACATAGAAGATAATGTCTCCCTCCTCGAAGACTGTTACGCAAGCACCCTAAAAAATCGCTGTCTTGCAAATCGGGTTGGCAACTGAGAGAATTCGATGATCAGGCGCACAGTCAATAAAATGGACCAAATGTCGATGCCGTGGGCGCTATGTTGCGAACAATACGCATACTTGTCCGGATCTTAAGAGTTGGACTTCAAAAAATGCTGACATCGGTGACTTATGGTGGATGTGGGATATATTGTAAGGGTACATGTCCACATATTTTGCAGGAAATGGCTTTTCTTCGATTGAGTCCAGGAGGCGGACAATTAGAGCAGACATAGGTGCAGAAGTTGGTAATAGCTAGATGTGTCGGAAAAGAGTACATGGATCAAGAAAAGTATACTATCGGACGGCAAGGCAACCAGGTTCGTTGAGAATAACAACAAAGCCGCGGCACGTTGCACTCATCGGCCCACCTTTTCTGCCTGATAAACCTTTTTCCATTTGGCTGCCTCGGATTGTAAAGCTAGTAACCGTCGCCGTAATTTTTGCATCTCGACTTCCTGAAGCTGACATTTTTCATTCAAACGTGTTTTTTCAGTGGCGGCCTCCCGCTCCAGCTGACTGGAGCGCTGTGCTTGAACGTCTGCCCTCTGACGAACAGCGGAGAGTGCTGATTCTGCAGCAATGCGACGTTCGTTAGCTGTGCGCATCCGTTGCTCAGTTTGCGAGGCAACCAAATTGGCTAAGGAGGAAAGAGAGAAGGGTGAAAATTTGATCAAATTATTCAATCAGGGCGAGTGTATGGGGACCCTGAGGGACGAAACGTGTAGATAATCGGAGCAGAACAGAACAGAATCGGCCAGTGAATAGGAATACCCATCAAGCCAATATCCACGGATTAGTTGATTTTTTGGCTAGACAGCGATGAGCTCCCCTGGCTGGTGTTTAGCTGAATCAAAGAACCTCATCGACCGAACAACAACGTTATCATTAGTAGAACCAGCCAAGCAACGTATACCAAAGCGACTTGTGGGTCAAATTGTCACGTGCTGGACTGCGTTTATCAAATAGACTGAACGTTCTGGAGCAACTGACTTCTGCGACTGAAGTACGTCGTATATGCCAAATGGCAAGTTCAATGATAACCACAACCAACAGCTGATGCACATTCCGAGTGAGAACGCAGTCCCTGTGCGGGAACAGAAAGGGGGCAAACGTGTGACAAAAGACAACTGTCCTCACGTGTCAACATTAAAGTACACCCCAGGTGAGATAGACAAAGAAATTCGAAGAAAAATAGCGGATTCGATATAACAAGAGTTATAATGCTATCAAGATTAAAAACAATTACCTATGTGTGATCATTTCTGAAATAAAGAACCAAAAATTCAATCAAACCAAATCAAAAAGGGTGCCCCAACAAGTTTAAAGGTGCTCAAGTTCGACGGTGCCCAGGCAGTAGTCATGCGACAGCTAGCTGCAATGCAAACCTAATTATTATGCCCTTCCTGGCCGGAACGAACGACACGGTCTTCGTACATTGTAATCTCGGAATGAACGACACGAGCTTTGCAGATTGTACTCCAGGAATGAACGACTCGGTGTTTTCGAAGTGTGTCCGCAATGAGTATGATGCGCGCTATCCTGGTAGTACAATGGTAATTGTAAACGTAGCTATATGGAATGCACGTGGAATTTTGAGACGATTACCCGTTGCCTTACAGAAAGAACAAGCGCAATGCAATAAGCTTAACGAAAGCAATTACAGTATTTCCAAATATTTTGATCGTTACATTGTGCAAAATTAATTTTTGATTTTTTGTCGCAATGCTCGGTTAGATGTGGTTTCTTTTTATCTTCAGGCTCCTTTATGGCGCCGTTGCTTGCAGTGAAATTGTTACCTCATTTTGAATCCGGGTTCCGAAAGCAGCTGCTAAACTTGACACCCATCATACACTCTGTACATTTTAATGCTTCAAATAAACCTTGTTTTGGCATTGTAACCATACACTACATCTCCTGTCGATTATCTCATCACGTCATTTAAAGAGAAGGTGGTGGATGGCCTTAGTATTACCGTCGAGATGGGTGGACTGACTGCTGGCACTCTGAGCACCGAAGGTCCAAATACACGACGAATACGCATTTATTTTAGGAATGATATCCAAGTATGAAGCAGGGGTGCGGCAGCACGAGTTTGGCCAGAAGCAGGTTTTCATTGGTCAAATCGTGCGCTTCTGATTCAACAGTAACGCGTTATTACCGGTACAATAAAAAATGAGAAAAAACACTGATAGCCCGAAAGTACGTCGTACCGACGCTTCCATGGTACGTGACCACACCCAACCACGCATGAGAAAGAGACATTGCGAGGCCGCTCGTGCGCACACAGATTCGAATCAGAGGCATGTAGATCACGACGAGGCAGAAGCCCAATAGAAGTCGGCAACAGGTAGATTTTCGGTCCCAAAAGGAAAGGTTATATACACGTTAGCTTTATTTTCGCCTCAGAAAGGTTATATGGTTATCATGGAAATACTAGGAAAACAACACGACGCTTATAAACCAGAGAGAATATGAGACAACCTGTCTGTTAGAGTGCATATACTGACTTAGCAAAGGCCGAATGTGAGGTTGTGCATCCTAGCTTATCTACTGAGGTTGGCGACGAATGTGACTTTCACACAGAACGGTATACACTTTAATACAACGCGGGGGCTTTGGAAACATGCAAATTCACATGGGTGCATAGTCTTTGCAAATAACGCGAGGTAACCGAGATATCTTGAGGGGTTTTGTGTAAAAGTGCATCTCCATAACACTATCGTTGATGAGAAAAGAAGTGAACAGGCGAAGCAATATTAGGAAATTTGTTGCAGGTTAAAGGTAGGCTCAAACATCGTCGTACAGATTGCATTCTGACTATACTCGAGAAGTAGTCGTTTATCCAAACCGTGCCTGTGTACCATATAAAAGAGAATCACCTTACTTTCACGAGTAGCTAAGAATATATATTGGTCGACTGCTGTCGAACGGCCAAGTGGTACAAACTAGATGCTTCATGGAACCGAGAACCGCAAAGAGCAGCATGATAGAAGTGAACTGTGCAAACGGAAAGTCGAAACAGGTATCATGAGCCAGCCACCCGCGAGATGGTTGACTAAGAGAACAGGAATATTGTTGGATGGTGCATCAGAATGCCGAAAATTAGCGGGTGATCGCTTCATGGTAAGATCGTTCAACTCTATGACTCATTCAGCGAAGATATATTGTTGTTGGTAGTAGTAGTAGTAGTAATACAATAAATTTGTTTGCATTCTGACGTGGAAGATGGGGTTATTAATCTCGACGATTATTGTCCGATTAGGTTTGACCATCCTGAAATCATCACTATCGGGGCAAACGCGTCATCACCGTTAATCAACGTTGCCGAGAGTCAGCAGTTATACTGTTCACATACTCCATAAGCTGCCACAATCAAATGCAGGCCAAAGTTCCTAAATAGCAGCCAATCGATCATTGTCAGAAATTTCTAACTGACTTCCGGCACATTTGTTGGAGTTGAAGGTTTTTCTAATCTAGTTTCATCAACATTACTGCTGACAATAAAATGTCTTATTTGCATTGCTGCTCATGACTTCAATAAAACGGGTGGATTGGTGGCATCCTTGTCCGGATTTGCCTGTCACTGTGGCCTCCATAGAACAGCCACAGGATGCTTGCGTCTACAGAGGGACTATGGTTGGCTTGTCCTAAACCCCCACAGTTCTACCCACACGTCCCATATCCGGTGTAAACCCGAAAGAATAAGACCGGGAGGCATCCGGATGGGAGCCACGTTTGACCAACGGAGCCGGTCCACACTCCTTCAAACAGAGCGGAAGCATTCACGCCTAAATGGAAAATCATGCGCACCGGAAGTACACAATTCGGAGGCTGAGCCGTAGTTCGCATACACTAGACGGAACCACTCTTTGAACCTAGCACGGTCAGGAGCGTGCACCCCGCCTAAAATAATAATAATAATAATAACGTGTCAGCTGTACACTGTAACGGCGCTTTGTTGCCGTGTGACCACCACCATCCGCACATGGGCCGCGAGGACGCCCACGCCTACGAGGAATCGAACCCCCGCCGCAAGATTACGAGACAAGCTCGTTAACGCTACGGGCCGCCCCCTCCAAAACAATCTCCTAGAGCCAGTATAATTGAGGTGGTATGTAATAGACAGGTAGGCACTTTGTCAACATTCACATCAAGTGCAGCCACACCGAGGGTAGCAAACAACAAACACCTAAAGTGCAAAAAATACGCGCAGGCACGTGTGCAGACCAACTGCAGCGATGATGCGGCACAGCTGCCACATCGACCGCATTTTGCACCTGGGTTAGTAAATGGATTCGCGTGCTTACCAAGAACTGCGCTGATGCATATCTAATCAACTTATTTGTCGCCTCTACAATAGTAGCCCATCGTGGCCAAGTTGATGACTGGTAAGTCCGGCTTGGCTGAGGCACACGACAGCAAAAACTACAGCACTATGCGCTTGACGTCGATGAGCTATCCAGCATTGGCGTATGTCGCTTCTGTACCCGGCATTGCTCTTCCGGATGCAACAATCCTTTCTGGTGCAGATGGGCAACCGCATGTGTCATATGATCACGCCTTTGATTCCCAACACCTAAAGTCAACAACAGTTTGTGATAAGCTCACCATGAGCACACCCTGGTAAGGTAGCTTCGACTTGTCCACGTTCCTCCTCCCTGTACTGAGTTGTGCATATAGCAAGTGTTTCGGTATCCTTATCGGATCTATACGGTGGATACGATCGACCTACCTCAGGTGTCGCAGCAGTACAGTGTTTGCCACTTCAGCGTCCGCAACTCTGTCACACCAACGGATGCGCATAACTCCACGCAGTCAACATTGATGAAAGCTTTTATAATATCGAACGTCCTTCTGGAACGGCGTCCATGTTTCGCCCCCGTAAAGAAGAACCGACAGCATCAGCGACTTGTACATCGCCAGCTTGGCCCCAACCGTCAGCTGGTGATTCTGCTATACAAGATGTTTGCCAAATGCAGCACCCGCCTTTGTTATGCAGATGCTCAGCTACATCGTCCTGTCGGTACGTTGACAGCGTGCGCCAAAGTACTGATTACAGACTACTGGATGAAAATAGCAGGAAGAGATATCTCTGTGTTGCTACTTTTAAAATACCTCGGGCACAGTGTCAAATTATGTTGGCCAGCCTTCACAACATTCCATGCCGGTGAAGTGCTTTTTCAGGAATTTTTTGAATTCCGACAACAAGTTTGTTTCAACTACATGTGGCGGTAAGTTGTTACGTACGTTCACCACTCTCCGTTCGAAATAGAGTTGTCGAGCGACCCACTTCAAATCCCGTACTACAAGCTTGCACCGATGTCCTCTTGTGCTGCGTGGTGCGCGCATTTGGAGCAGCGGCCTCAGCATGGGATAATCACCAGGATGTAATATACGGTGCGTCATGACGAAACCAACCCGCACTGGAGGACAAGGCAGGGTGTACAACTCTAGTCTCTTACACCTGTCTTCATATGGCACAGACCGTAAACCATGGCCACATGCTATACCCGCTCAATCCTTTGCACCTCTTCCCGCGTGAGTGGACAGTAGACGGGTGAGCTGTACTTTAGCATTGGTCTAATGATGGGAGAGAAGAGACGGG